CTCTAAAACCCACCACAGTTCTTCCAGAAGATCCTGACAGGGTGGAACTAATTCTACAATCGCTGATCTATAGCCCTCATGTAATGCAAATAACACCAAGTGCCTGATATTGTAATTCACTTAACGTACTGGAGTTATCTGCTACACAGGAAAAAAAAAAAGTTGGAGTATTTTATCTGGTCCATTCCCTTTAATAACAGTCAGAACAGTCTTTCTAGATCATATATTTGGTCATACCACATGACTGACCTGCAGTGCTGACAGACAGATGAATACAGTCACCAACAGTGCTTCTGGCTGTCACAAGCTCTTTCTAAAAGGGGATCTAGGCGGAGAATCAGCGTCCATCATAGCATCTTTGTGTACGTAGACTCAGATTAAAATACACCCTGGAAGCATGGTCTGCTGCCTCTTTGGTGGGGACGGGAGATCCCAGAAGAGGAAGGAAGTAAGATAAGCTACAGCCCCTGCTTTCATAGTCTTCACTGGGAACACAGCTGGTCTGTATCACCTCCCTCATCCATCACAGACTCTGCATCCCTGGTGAGGACCGGCTCTGAATGACCTGACTGATAGGAGTGACCCAGGCATGCACCTTGAGGGCTCTGTGCCGAGTTGTCATATTCTTTTGGCACTGGGCTCATTATATTTGTATCGTTCCTGTCAAATGCTACCAAAAAGCAACCTTACATCACCCGTGTAACAAATACATTTTCCCCACACACTACATTTTGTTGTGTCAAGCGAAAAGCTGGAGCAAATAACAAACAGTTCCCAATTCCACCCTCAGATAACCAGTCCTTTAACCTGATTTCTTTCCCATTGTTTAAAACTAGGATGTTTTAAGATAGTGGGGTGTGAGTGTGCATGTGTGGTGTCTGTGTGTGTGTGTGTGTGTGTGTGTGTGTGTGAAGTTTTAAGAAAACACAAATACCAAAGAGAGAACTGTCCACCTTTTACTCAGCGGTCTGGGAGAATACTACTTACTGGCTTGCTCTGCCTGCTTTCTTACACACCCTTGGACCACCTGCCTGGGGGTGGCACCACCCACAGTGAACTAGTCCCTTCCACATCAAACACTCATCAGAAAAAATGCCCTGCGGGCCCATCTGACGGAAGCAGTTCTTCAAGTGAGGTTTCCTCTTCCCAGGTGGTTCTACTTTGTGTCAAGTTGACAAAAATTAACACTACAAGATCCCAGACCACACATTCTGGAGGACTCCTTTTATGTTCAGTATTAAAATAGAACTCTTCCGGGCCCTTAAAAGTAAGTTAATGCTTAGGGGTGGGAAGAACAGGCACTGGGAGGATCATCCAGGCCTCCTGATGCTTTTGTTCGAAACTCTTGGTATTGATAGCCTTTGTGCATTCTTTTTAAGATAATTGATTGGGGGATCGATTAGATCACTAGTAAGAAGTAGAAGAAAAGAAATAAAAGTGGCAATGAGGATTAATCCACATGATTCCTATGAAGAGATTTCATTTCAGCTAGCTTCCACCTCCAGGGAGAAAATGGCACATTTATTGGGCCATTTGGTTGCTATTGTTTTCCCCCAAAGTACCCCTGTGATCATAGAAGTGTCATGCTGCGGAATAATTTATGCTTGCTCCAACCTACTTTGGGAAGTTCAGAGCAATGGGCTGCAGGGCACAGTTCTAAGCAGCTTTGAAGTCTGATCGCAGTACTTCTATGTAATGCAAATTGACAAGGTCTCTAAATTAGGCAACTAACTAGAAAATGAGGTTGGAAAGCCTGTTTTAGTGGCACTCAGGCTTCTTCCCCAAGGACATATCTGTGGCCGGGGCTTGGGTCTGGAGGAGCTTTCCTCACCGGGAATTTGGATGCTAACTCGAGGGAGAAGATCAAGTGGAAGGGGCAGCAAATATATCTAGGGGATTGAAATGTTGAAGGAGTTGTTAAGCAAATATTTATAAGGTTCTATTTACATGTCTAACACGGTAAGTGCTCACTCCATAAATAATGAATTGTTTAATCCTTCCAACAAGCCTGTGAAGCAGGCAGAATTACCGTCATCCTCTTTTGTGTGTGTCTGCGTGTGTTGGCACGTGCACACACATGCACAATCATGCACATGCATGCATGTTGTGTGTGTATGTGGTGCATGCATATGAGCATATGGGTAAACACATGTGGAAGTCCCTGACAACCAGCATTCTCTCTGTCTTTTGTCTTCATGACTTCTTGCTATGAGAATATGATATAAGCGGAATCATATAGTATATAGTATTTATCTTTTTGTGACTTGCTTATTTCATTTAGCTTAGTTTCCCCAGGGCTCATCCATGTCACGGTGTGTGTTAACATTCTCTTCCTCTTTAAGACTGACTAATAATAAACCACTGTGTGTATACCTTATTTTGTCTATCTCCACTTGCCAGTGGAGATTTGGATGCTTTACCTTTTAGTTAGCCAGGAATTTCACTGCCCTCAACAGACATGGACACGTAGCTCTTTGAGATCCTGCTCTCCATTCTCTGATGTCAGCGTATTTCCTTTGCTCAGCCATGAATACGATACCTGGGGAGTCTGGTGAGAAAGTCAATGTGATTCTATGAGATTGAAACTTCAGGGATCAGACTCTGGAAATGAAGGGGAAGTGGGGAGTGGGGAGCACCTTCCTTCTATACCATTCCCACCTCCACCGATGCAGTCCTTGCTCTGGGGTTTTCTCAGAGTTCACTGGGCAGTCCTTCTAATGCCTGGGTTAGCATCCTCGTCCATGGCCAACTCCTCCATCTCAAGACACAGTCCAGAACTCAGTGCCATGTGGACTCTTGGCTTCAGCCATGAGAACCAGTTCTCAAAAAACTCCTTTTCAACCCAACCGACTGACTCAGCCAGTGCCACGTGGCCCCTGGCCATAGCATACACTTGGGGTCATAGCAAGTGACATTTCCAAAGTAAAGATCTCAACGCTCAGGCTCCAGGTTGGCAGCGCTGAAGGACCACTGTCCACAGCAACGATACTATAGTAAGGATGAGTATTGGGTAAAAACTTAGGTGATGGCTCAACTCATGAAGTGCTTACCAGAAAAGCACAAGTTCCGATCCCCAGAACCCACTGCTTCTGGTTTTATTTCTGTTGCTCTGAAAAAAATTCTGACAAAAAGCAACTATAGGAAGAAAGGAGTTTATTTCATCTTCCATTTCCAGGTTACAATCCATCATTGTGAAGAAGTCAAGGCAGGAACTTCAATTGGTCATGTCATACCCAGAGCCAAGAGCAGAGAGAAAGGAATGCACACAAGCTCACTCACTGGTTTGTGCTCAGCCTGATTTCTCTCTATTCTAACTTACATAGGATCTCGGCGCCTAGGGAACAGAGCTGCCCATAGTGGGCCGGCTATTCACTTAAGATATGTCCGCAGAGACATGCTCACAGGCTAACCCAGTAGATAATCCTTCATTGAGCCACTCCTCCCGGTGATTCTAGGCTATGTGAGGACAGCCACTAAAGATAACTACCACAGCTCAGGGTACTGTGCCTTTAGAGGATAGGAGCTAGGATAGGGGAAGCCCTGGAGCCATGTGGGCCAGCTACCTCACTACACACAATGGCGAGTAAGAGACCTTGTGGAAGGCAAAATCTGACACCCAAGGCTGTCCTCTGCTTTCCATACACTTGTGGCACATGCACGCTCACTCTCAAATACGTGAATATGCATGTGCATAAACACACTTGTGCACACATGCTCGAAATCAAAAGAGGAAGAGAATGAAAATAATAACCATATTTATGATGGGAAAATCTTAAGGTTCCCCTTAAACACGCTGGGCTCCAAACACAGATGTTTATAAGCTGAAGTTAATATTGTCTGTTTCTGCCTTGGCCTCTTAGCGTGGCATGGAGGAACACGCCTTTTTGTCAACACAGACTTGCTAGAGAAGCTTGGCTGTTGTGAAGCCGACTGGCCATGTAGAGCTGGAGAGGGAGGAATGCGACTGGAGAAAACGTAAAGGGCACATTTTGCCCAGAGCCAGGGATGTCTCTGCCACTTCACCAACATCTCATCTGCTCAGACACATGAATGAGTCCTTCATCTGGACTTTTAGAGGGCAGGGGTCACAGCTATCTGCCTTATTTTATCTTTGTCAGATACATTCTTCAGTCTTGACTCAAGAGCCATTATTTTATACGATCTCAGCATGGCGGATGGTCTCAGGAAGGATACCAGCTATGTTCTGTCTCTTTTGGTTCAAGAAGCCCAAAGCAATCGCTTTCAAATGGTTGTACTGATTGTGACTCCGTCTTTGATGTACAAAGGCTGCGAAATTTAGCCTGATGCTGAACATTCCAAATGCCTCAGAAGCACATCATCCTCTGCAGGCAAGAGGAAGCCCAGGACAATGCCAAGAAACCAAGGGAAGGGGCATTGTGTAGTTAGGGATCAAAAGGGTGAGTGAGGTCCAAGGCTTCAAGCCTTATCAGAAGCTGGGCCTTGGCCCTCCGCCCTCTGCCCCGGGTTTCAGCTCTCGGCTGTTCTTTTTGTCATGGAAATGCAGTTCCTTGGAAGCCGCAGACAAAATAATGAGCTGGAGACACCAGGTTCCAAGTGGCTTCTGTTCGTTAGCACAGGATCCAGCACCTCCTCTAGGAGATCTCTGGGGCTGCTCCATGGCCCTGTGTCTGCAGCTTTCGTTGGTCTTCTAATTTAACACTCGGAGATGGCCGGCAGGGAAGTCAGCCCATCAGGGGCACCCTGGGTGGCTCTCCTCAAGCAAAAGAAAGCACCAGGTCAGGAGGGAGCAGCGAGGCAGCTACAGAGAGTGAGATTTAAATAAAAGTCGGGCGGGGCCGGGGGGGTACTTTGAGAAAGAACACTTTATTTTTAGAAAAGAAAAGGAATTAGGAGCAGATAATGGTTGCCACAGCAACAGAGCACTGCCTATATTCCATAGGCCCAGCTTTAGCGGAATGGATTCCCTGGTGACTTTCTGAGAAAATACACATGGAAATAAAAAGGCTGTCCAGGAACAATGTCTCACATTTGTCCAACTGCCTTTTCACAGCCGTTTTCCAGGCTCCCTGCTCCACGGCCCTGCAATCCGCTTAAAAACCAATCTTCATGTTCTGCACGGAGCTTCGTGCTACATGAGGGTTTCATTTTGTCTCCCTTCGCCGCTCCTAATTGTGCTTTAAAAGTCGAGCCGACAGCAGCGGACCCAGGTGAGGTGCAAGGCTTGAGAACGTGGAATTCTCTATCAGACTGGGAAGAGATACTGAAGGTGACATAAAGAAGGGGACATCAAAGCTTTCAAATTAAGCTAGATGACCCGATGAATTGATTGCTAATGGCTTGAGTACAAAATATTCAAATTTCTGTGCTTTCTTGAAAGTTTAACTTTGAGAGAGAGAGAGAGAGAGAGAGAGAGAGAGAGAGAGAGAGAGAGAACTAGGAACGGTGTGAGCTTTTGGAACCTCAAAGCCCATCCCCAGTGACAGACTACCTCCAACAAGGCCGCACCCCCTGGTCCTTCCCAAGCAGTCCTAATGGGGACCAGACATTCTAATATGTGAGCCTGTGGAGGCATCCTCATTCAAACCACCACAAGTGGTCTCCTTTTCATGGAAGAAGACTATAGAGAGAGGTTTTAGGACAACTACCATCCCGTTGTGTTAAGATTCCACCTGTGGTATCATTATTTGCTGTTGATGGCCTGTGATCTGCCCCTAAGGCAGCTTCCTATTCATCTTCCTATTCATCGGAGTCCTACTTCCTGAGCTATGTGGGTGGAGCTCTTTCCCTTTAGTTCCATGGTTTTATTGAAGCTGTCACTAGCTATCATTGGATGGAGGTGAAGGGACAACGCTTTCCTCCACACTGGCATGGATGGTCAGGGAACGCCAAGTGGGCTTCTCAGATACATAACCCTCTGATAGCTCTCTGAAGGGAAACGAAGAAGACACGGAGTGGTATTCCATGAACAACACAGATGAATCCCCTCGGATTAGGACAAACAGAAGCCATCTACGAGTATCAGCACACTGGTTCTGTTGATACGTCTGTCCTTCAAGAGCAGCCTAGGCCATCAAGTAAACTCAAAGCCAACCTGTACAATTTGAAGGATCTCCTGTCTCAAAGCTATTTTTAAAGGACTAGGGCTAAGGCAAAGGATTTCTATGATTATAGACATCAGAGTGACAGTTACCTCTGGGGTTGGCTTCTCTAACTTTCAAATCTAAAAAGTGCTGGAGGTAGGTATTTGCTAATGTGGGCTCACTTGGCTTCCTAACATCTTTATTTTAGTTCACCCACAGCAGCAGCTACCCTTTTGGAGCAGAGAGAACAATTTATGCAGTCACAGAGATGCCCAAAATACTTGAGTGGGACACCAACGGAACAAGAGATACCACATCATGAGTTTTAGGTAAAAACAAAAGTCTGAGAGGTAGGATTCATTTCTGCTAATTCTGCTAATGAGGCCCCATTGTTAGTGTCGGACAGGTACCGTCGGAGGAAATGGTAGCCTCTAAGATGATGAATCGCTTCTGATTTAAGATTAGTCAAGTGTGTCTAGCCCTGTTTCCCTATCCTTAAACTCTGTTCCCACTCTCATTTGTATCCCCCCACCCTGAAAAGCCATGTCCTCAAACAAGCCTGATGGCTCAAGCTCCTAATCCCCGCGATTCTTGAGGCAGAGGCGGAAAGATCAGAAATCCAAGGCAAGCCCAGGCTACAGAGTTAATTCAAGGCCAACCTATGCAACTTAATGAGCTCTTGTCTTAATGTATTTTAAGGGGCTAGAGATATTAGTAAGTGGCCAAACACTTGTCTCATGTCTGCAAGATTCCAGACTCAAGCCCCAGTACTGCAACAAAGAAAGAAGAGAGATAGAGAGGAGAGACAGACAGACAGACAGACATAGAAAGATAGAGACAGGGAGATACAGAGAATATGTAAACTGTCTTTCAGACCCAACCCACTTAGCTTGAGAAAGCTAAGAGGAGAAAAGAAATCCTGAGACCTAGAACTTGGCAGTTCATTGGAAGTTCAGCTCTCTGAAGTATTAAGGGGAAGGATGTTGTATCAGTTGCTTGCTGCTACTGCACAGCTACTTGGTGATGAGGTGACCTGAAGGTGGCCCTCAATTGCAGTTCATACTTGGCCTTTGGTGGCAGACTCCTCAATATTATGTCCTCCTCTCCTATTAAGACACTGTCTTCATGGTTTTTTGGGGGGTGGGGAGCAGCGGGTGAGAATTCCACTTATATTGAAGGAATTCTCAGGATTGCCACTCCCTGAACCAACTCTCACGATAGAGCATCCACAATTCATCCAATTGGTTGAACATAGGGTGCTAAAATGGGGCTTTTTGTTAGCATTTCTGGGGAGACATTCACTATACCATTGCCCCCTACCCACTCACCATAAAACACAGGGCTTTATCTGAGAAGGGGAACAGCAGTCCTAACAGCCGGCTGCAGGAACATGGCATCCTTGTGAGCCAGCTGGGGCTGGGTTGGCTTCCAGACTCAGACCACAGGCCACCATGACTGCCTTCCTGATGGTCCCAGATGTCACAGCTCAGCAGAAGAAAGAAAATGACCTAGGTCAGACTGTCAACCCTCAGGTTTGGATGGAGGCTCTTCTGTTTAGGTAAGAAGGAGGGGGAGGGGATAGACGAACGAGCAGACTGTCCACGGAGGAGTCCAGGGTCAGAGGCAGCTGGGGGTCATTCTCAGAAGAGAAGAGGGACCCAAGGTAGTGGAGCCAGGAAGCCCCAGGTGCTGTCCTCCTGAGTCAGACTTGAAGAAGGGCTTCCCCTACAAGGTGGAACATTTCCACTTGAGAGTGTTGAGCCTGTCCAAAGCTTGCTGCTCTGGGGTGTCACTGAGACAAAGTCCCATGATGGATTTTGTGAGCATCTTCTGTGTTCTGCCGCTTTCTTCTGCCCTGTTTCCTGTGACATAATAAATGGGGCACACTGAAGCAACCTCCCTGAATAAAGTCCAACGGGCAGAATGGCCCCAGGGATAGAGACAAACCAAGCAGATTCCATCTTACGTTTGCAGGAGGTGAGTTCGTAGCGTTCATATCCTGGAAAGTCCTGACCCCCAATACCTCAGATGTGACTTTCTTTGGGAAAGAGGTGTGTGTTATAGATGGAATTAGTGTTGATGGGTCACAGCAGAGTAGGGTGGGCCCTTCATTTCTATGTGACCAGTGACTTCGTTGTCGCAGTCTACTTTCTGTTGCTGTAACACATCACTGAAGATTTGGTGATTTTAAAAAAAATATGGCTAATGATTCTGGAGTCTGGGAAGTCTAAGAGCAAGAAACCACACGTGTTCAATATCTGGTGAGAACTTTCTTGCTTCAGTCTTCCGTGACAGAAGACATCATGTGACCAGACAGAGCAAAGAGGATTCTCTTCTTATAAAGCCACTAATGGCAACATGGAGACTTCGCTCTCTTGATCTCATCCAGTTCTATGACTGCTCTGCCCCCCCACCCCCCACCCCAAGGATCCCCACCTCCAAATGCCGCCAACTTACTACTTACAACACCCGATTTCTGGGAAAGAAGCCTTCGAACTTCAGCACCATAAAAAGAGAATGTTTGGAGGTAGACATTCCCACTGTCTTAAGTCTCTAGGTGCAGACAGGTATCTAATCCAAGCAAAGATGTAGTTATTTTAATATTCTTTTTCCACATGATATTTATCATAGACACACAAGAAAATATCCAAAACACAAGCAAATCACACTTCACTCATATTCCCATTGATTGTATGTTTATTTAATGTTTCTATTTCATTTATTTTTTATCTTATGTGTATGAATGTGTGTTCATTTCTTTACACATGCACCACATGTGTGCCATGTCCATGGAGAATAGATGAGCATTAGGTGCCCGGGAACTGGGATCACAGGTATTGAGAGTCATCTGATGTGGGTACTGGAAACCAAACCCAGGTCCTCTGCAGGAGCAGCCGGTGCTCTTAACTGCTGAGCCATCTCTCCAGCTCCTAAAAATGTAGTTTTTAATTCTGGCATAAGTATTTTTGACGTGAATGGAATTACACTGTGTATATTTTAAACATGATTTTTATTGCGATGATACATTGCGAAGGGCTTTTCATATGAAAATAGTCTTCACTTTCCTTTTCGAGCAGCAGAAGAACTCACCCCTCTCCTCAGATGAACATTACTCTGCATCATTAATAGAAAATAAATGAGATGGTGGCACTCTAGAATATTCTACACACAGCAGCTTTTGGATTTTAGTTCGAACTACACACACACACACACACACACACACAAGCACACAATACACATATATATGAAATCACAAATCTTTTCATAGAGAGCAGGACCTTTCTTCGTGTGTGTGTGTGTGTGTGTGTGTGTGTGTGTGTGTGTGAGAGAGAGAGAGAGAGAGAGAGAGAGAGAGAGAGAGAGAGAGAGAGAAACATACATTGAATGTCTTCCTCAATCTCTGAGACATGGTCTCTCACTGAACCTAGAGCTCACTTACTGTCTACGCCAGTAAGGTCCTGGATTCCTCCAGTCTCCTCACCCCCAGCACTGGAATTATAGGCATGTACCACCGTGCTTGGACTTTTTCATGAGTCCTGAGGATCTGAACTCAGTCTTCATGCTTGCCCAACAAATGTTTTACCTATACGGAGCCATCTCCTTGGTGTTTCTTTCTTTTTTTTTAAAGAATGTTCTTTCAGGTTGTGCCAGCTAGATGCACAGCCCTCTGTTTTACTTAAACCACACCTATAATGCCTTTGACATTTCTTTTTTAGGTCTTCAACATGGAATGAGAGCTTACGAATCAGCCAAGCAATCCTGGGAGAAATCCTCCATAGCGGTCTCACCTACAACTCCTTGAGCAATGATTCTTTACCAGCTTTCCCTTCAATTCCATCTAGAAAATTCTTTCTAGACACTTAACATGGTTTTCAAAGAAACACTCTTCTGCCTCAGGCTGTATCAGTTTGCATAATATTTTGTCATATTACAAGACCACATTCATGGACACAGGGGCATAGATCACTTTAGGGTCAATCCCAACTGACTCTTCCTGAGCACCCATCTCCCCTGGTGGCTGCAGGAGAACCCATGGCAGCCCATGCTCATCTGAGGAGTCCACTGACCACCTACAGAATTACTCTGTCATCTATGGGTGTGGAGGGAGAGGAGTCCAGTTCAGCCAGGTCAGTTCATGGGCCCCCTAACATTCCTGTGACTGATTTGGCCTTGAGATTGGAGAATTTGGTTGTGTCCTATTTGATTTTATATTGTGAACACTGACCTTCCAAGGTGTTTTTTATCAAATCCTAAAGCTACAGGTAACGGTCCAATCTAACCCAGACTGGTTTGGGGTGTATGTATAACAAAGTGAACTGTGTCCTCAAAATGAATATTCAGGGGAAAGGTCTATTTATCATCTTTCACCTGTGTATAAATGAGTGTGCATAAGATTAAGACCAGGTGCATTATGGGAAATCATATGCTTAATGAACAAAGGCTTATTTAACTGAAACCTATCAATCAAAACAGAAAACCATCCACATTTTGCTTAGCAACCAATTTATCCTCCTCCTAGACCCACAAAAGGAATCCCTGAGTAATAAATAGGGGGTCTTGTCTAACAATCCTTCCACAAGCAAGCAAGCATACATAGGTTTTTAATTCAAGCCTGTCTTCAACTGCTATTCCAACCTGTAAAAGAAGCAGCGGGCTGCTTCCTGCCGTCCAGCTAGTTTATGCCTGAAATAATTACTTGGAAACTGTATTCATTTAAACACTGCCTGACCCATTAGTTCTAGCCTCTTATTGGCTAACTCTCACATCTTGACTAACCCATATCTAGTAATCTGTATGCCATCATGAGGTTGTAGCTTACCAGCATGAGTCTAGCCAGCATTTGTCTCGGGAAGGGGAACCATAGTGTCTGCCTGACTCTGCTTCTTTCTCCCAGCATTCTGTTCTGTCTACTTCACCTATCTAAATCCTGCCCTATCAAAAAGCCAAGGCAGTTTCTTTATTAACCAATGAAAGTAACACATAGACAGATGACCCTCCTACATCACCAACCTGTTGCTGAGTGGGACCAGCAGTGAGGAATCTGGGCACTGAAGTGCCCCTGTTCCTGTCTACGGTGCTACTTTGGGTCTAGGGACTGTCTCCACAACAAAAGATTACAGACCTGCCAACTTCTCTCTGGAGTCCGCTATATCTAGCAGGAAGCTGATAGTTGGGTCTCTTGTTTGAGAACAATCTAGAATCTAGAAGTGGCATAGGTGACTTCTCTGTCTTCTCTTCCCACTGTCTAGTTCTTGATCCTTCTTTAGGTAAACTTTTTTTTAAGACTTTGTCAGAACTTTATTAACACCCTTAGACAATTGAATAGGAAGAATGATGAAAGAGAATATCAAGACAAAGAAAGCTATTAAGATTAAATCGTTCTGCCCTACATCTTGTGTCTCACGGCACATTGCAGATGTGCCTCACTCTTTGAGAACATTTAGCCTTTTCATGGGAGGCCAGAGTGTTAACTCTATTATCACTTGAAACCTATTATATTCAATGCCTAAAATACATTTAGAAGAGTATGTAAAGCGATCTTACATTTAGATAATTATTACCCAACAAATTATGTTATCTATGGGCTTTACTGATTCAAATCTGTGATAAATTTAACACAAATTCTTAGTGGTTAAAATGTCTCTTAAGGAAGCCGAATAAAACTATTGGATTCAACAATATTCTACTACCAGGGCTCAAGTTGTGGAAGAGCGATTAAGTATACTGGTTGCTCTCACAGAGGACCAGGATTCAATTCATAGCAGCCACAGGGTGGCTCACAACCACCTGTAACCCCAGCTCTGGGGTACCTGACACCCTCCTCTGGCCTCTGCAGACATTGCAGGCATGTGGTGCACAGACACACGTGCAGGCAAGATACCCATGCACATAACATCAAGTAAAAACTCAAAAATATTCTATGACCACCAACTCTATCAAAGAATCTGGGCCAGACCCGCTGGGGCCACTAAAAGGAAAACAAAATCACCTTCCTCCCGAGCAGCATACAAATCCTGTTGACAGCATACTGTTGAGATTGGGAAAAGTCGGTTAAAACTATTAAAAGATAACACAGGAAGGTTGAGGAGAAAGTAATGAATTAAAATACTTTAAAAATAAAGAAAGCATGATCATTAGATTGCCTGCTTCTGCAGTCAGGGAAACAGCCACCGAACCTATAGACTATCTTCTAGGAGGGAAACTTTAAATGCTTTTTGTTGTTGTTGTTGTTGTTGTTTCTCCATTTTGTCTTCCATCGGTAGCAGCCGATGAGACAGGTGAGGTGTCAGAACGGAAGACTCAGACAAACAATGCATCCACCCCTCAAAGCCCCCAAAAGCTCAGACTAGGACAAGGTCAGACCATCTGGGGGAACGCTCCTACTTCATTAGCTTTGATCTTGCTCCAGTGTCTTTATGGAATGGAAAGAACATTGGGAGTGGTGCTGGAGTCGGGCTAGCCTGATCTCTTATTCCATCTGCTGTACAGTCTTTGACAAAGAACTCAGTACCTCCTTGTGAAAACATCCCCAAGTCTCATCTCTGCCGTAAGTGAGCCCTCCCCTCCTTGTTGACATTTGTGTTCCTGCAGTACGCTGTAGCAAACGTTCTTGTTGGACACTACCTGTGAACCACCAGTCTGCAAATAATTAAGTCTGCAGAGACTTAATATTTATCATGAAAGTTTAGCCTTAACTTAGGCTTTTCTCCCAACTAGCTCTTGTAACGTTATTAGTCCATAATTTTTAAATCTATGTTCTGCCACGTGGCTTGGTTACTTCTCAGCATGGGCACACCTGACTTGCTCCGAGTCTGCTGGCGAAATTGCTCACCTGGATTCTTCCTCCCAGCTTCTCTTTCTCTTTCTGCCCTAAAGTCATACATATTCTCTCCTGACTAGCTATTGGCCGTTTAGCTCATCAATGAAAAGGCTCCTTAGGCAGAGAGTCATCTCTACAGTGTAAACAACCTTCCCACAACAGCATGTGTGTCTCACCATGCTCTGTCGTGTCATCTCTTGCCCTTTGGCTGTGGAGGGCATGACTAAATTGTACCTGTATGTCCAGGACAGAGCGTGATGTTTGGTGGCTGTGTTAGGAGACACATCTGTACTCCGTGGCAGCCATCATGTCTGCCAGACAGCACTGTCCCTGGGCCTCCAGACTATGACAGGGCTGCTCATGCCATCAGACCTCTGTAGATAGAGGCTAACGTGACAGGAAGCTTGTAAGCAGAATTAATTTCTAGTCTTGACCTTATCATCCAGAGAGATGCTTCACATCTACCTTCCTTTATCTCACTTATGATATGATTCTCAGGGTTAGTTTCTGCCCATTCCCTCCGAAAACACTCAACCTGGTCAACAGGAGGTTATAATGAACAAAAAATTCACTACATATTGCCCTCCTCTGTATTTTACCATTGCATGCTAGCAGAGATACATGTGGCTGAGTTTGTGTGAGGCTCTGTCCTGTTTTTAAGACTTACGAGATTATTCTCTAAACAGAAGAAGCCACCCTTTACATCCCCATCCATGCCCATGTGACATCCCCAGATTGTGACTTGTAATTTCTCTGTAGTGGATAGAACAATGTCTTCCAAACGCTAGGCCAATATTCTAACCTAGAGCAAGGCCTTATTTGGAAAATGGATCTTAGGAGTTATAATTAAAGTTCCTGAGAGGAGACCATCCTAGACTACTAAGTATTTCCTAGATCTGATGACATGTGCCTTTATACAAGAAAAGAAGCCAGGAGAGGGTGGCACAAAACTGGAGACAGAAATTGGAATGCTGCAGCTACACCAGAACCTGCAAGAGACAGCAAACAGTCTCAAGAGCCTATGGCGGTAGCTCAGCCCAGCCAGTGCCTTGTGCTGGACTTCTGCCCTCCGGGGTGGGATAATACAGTTCTGTTCTTAACTTATCAAGTTCATGGTTATTTGGCTATGGCAAACCCAGGAAATGAATACACTCTGCAAGACTTAGCTTTCATATCTGTAAAACAAGATTAACAATTTCCCAACACATACTACATGGATGTAATGAGAAACTGTAGGAAACTTGTTCATATTAGCCCTCAGTAAATGGTAAGTACTAGATTCTCACCCTGTGCTTTTGGTATGTATGGAAGGTCATTTGAAGACCTACACTTGGAGGTGTCTTTATGATGCCTCCATGGCAACTTGGATTGCCCTCTTGGAGTTAATATTGGAGAGAAGAACTTGAAGAAGGAAAGAAATGAAAGGTCACCCAAGACACAACTATCTTAGATAAGCAGGACACACTGTGGTGATTGATCGTGGGACCATTACTAAAGAACACCTTGAGAAAGTGGGCTAGAGAGATGGTTCAGTGGACAAAGTGAGCCCGTGAGTCCAGATCCTCAGCACCCACATAAAAACTAGGAATGGCTGCATTAATCTGTACCCCAGTGCTGGGGGGCAAGAGGGGGCAGGTCCTGGGACTTTGCTGGCCAGCCAGAATAACTGAAATGGCAGGCTTCAAGTTTGGTGAGAGACTCTACCTCAAAGATGGGGTGGACAGCAATAGAGGAAGGACCTCCATTTGTACCTGTGTACAGGTAAGCACATACATGTGGACATATGCACACACATTCATATAACATATACACACACAAAGAAAGGGAGAGAGAGAGAGAGAGAGAGAGAGAGAGAGAGAGAGAATAGTATGATACGAAACAGGTGTAGGCTGCCAAAAGAGCATAGAAAATAGAGTGAGGAGATGTTGCCCACATCCATTATACTTCTGGGGAAAAAATATAAGCCAAATTATTCCCCTGTCTTCCAACCTCTAGTTAAACTATCTCATCTGTGTAGGCTAACTTGCTGCTGCCAATGTATAGCGTGTTACACCGTGTTAGTCAGAAGTGTGTATGTGTGTGTGTGTGTGTGTGTGTGTGTGTGTGTGTGTGTGTGACAAAATATTTGAGAAAACTAAATGAGAAATGGGGGGTATTTTGGCTCATGGTTTCAGAGCTTTTAGTCATTGGTTGGGTGGCTCCAGTTCTTGGGCCAGAGATGAGTTAAAACATCATGGCATTGGGAGCATGCGTGGAGTTCATCTCATGG